GTGTGTGTGTGTGTGTGTGTGTTGGGCTCGCCTAGTTATGAAGCCCCTTGTCTTAAGCTTCGGGAGGGAGCTTGGTTTGGGTTTGTTCCTGCGAAGGGAAGGGAGTCTCTGAGCATGTACAGAGAGCCTGCCATTCAGCGGTGATCAGCTGGAGCCCCCGCGTGGGCTGGAAGAGAGGCTGCTTAATAGGACGGTGGGCGTTCGTACTTTTAGTTAGTTAGTTAGTTAGTTACAGTAGTTAGTTATTTGATTTATACCCCGCCCATCTGGTCTATACAGCCACTCTAGGCAGCTTTTTGCTTTTAGCAGCTTCTCTGAGTGAAGCTGGCCATGTATAAACTGTTAAAAGTGCTCCTTTCTCTGCTCCTTTAAATCTTTCGAGTATTCCTTAATTTTAAAAAGGAAGAGGAAAACAACAGTCCTTTGATAATTAGAGTTATGGAGCCTGGTGTTTTGTTTTTGTTTTGTGTGCTTTGCCTATTTTATCCGTCTTCGCCTATGGGGATCAGAAGGATTTTCCCTCCTTTTCATTCACAGGACATAAACATTCTTCTAGGTAAAACCAGTGACAAATGGTGACTAGATCCCTAATTTTTTTGTGCTTTTTAGTTTCCTCCTGAGAAGTTGTTTTCTTGTTATCTTTTTTGGGGGCGTTATCTCACGTTCCCATGAATTCATTTCAGGCTCTTGAAGCTTCCTGATCAAAAGCTTCTCTAGTCTGAAAATAAGTAGTGCAGAAATTGTAATCTTGCTGCTCAAATGTCACCCCCAAAGACCTACATCTCCCAGGAAGCACTTGGGCAATTTCTTTTTCTTTCTTTTCTTTTCTTTTTTCTTTTTGGGTAGGAAATAGATCTGAGGCAGCCAGGAAGATAGGACTTGTTCCAGGTGAGCAAAATACAGGAGCCGGCAAATATGTGTCGGTGACGAAGAACTCCCAGAGTTATTCCTGGAGAATTTGGGGAGTTGTTACTAGATGGTTGCTGTTCTTTGTTTGCTTTTATTTCATTTATTTCATTTTCTTTTTAAAAAATGTGTTCCTTTGTTCGAGAGCCCCTGGTGACATACACAACCTTTGTAAGGTACGCATGGCCACACAGGACAGTGGCCCCTCCGGCAGATTTGTTCCGAGAGTTTCTACTCCGTGACCGTAGTCGCTTTGGGTTGATCTTCATCCGGGTCTTCTGTGTCAGAAGCCGTCCAGGGATGCTTCCATCTTGTTTCCATAGATATTTTGTATTGGCAAGTCTGAGCAGTTCTGTTTGTACGTTGTAGAAGCAAGGGCAAAGAAACTAATTTGTGAAAGGCTCTCATCCTTAGCTTTATCTTCTGTCTGTTCCTGGTATCTTTCCGTCCCCTTGGTTTCTAATATTTAGTCTGGAGACCCAAGGTTGGTGACCATTGTCTTAAAAGAATCACATACTAGAGCATATTGTGCACACAATTCTGCCTCTTTGCTCTATCATGTGTTATGTTTTACCCTTCAATCAGGATTGCACAAACAATTTTCCACTTGGTCATGCCCTTCGCATTGTGTGGGGTGTCAAGCCAGAGGGGGAAACGGCATCCATGGTTGTGCTTAACGCACACTGTTTTTTCCCATAGAATTTTAACCATGGTTGGTTTATATTTTTTTTGAACAGAAAAGATCCAACTTTGATTTCTCCCTTTTTCTTTCTCTTTAAGTATACGCATTTCCAGATCTTTCGGTCCAGGATGCTGGAGGTGGAAGAGTAGTTCCGTTGATGAACGAGCGCTGCAGTACAGGGTTGGCGATCACATCCACGGGTTCACAGTCAATCAGGTACTATACTTTTCTTTGATAATCTCCATCTCCTGATATTTTTTCCCCCTGCCTTCTGGGGAGTTTGCAGCCCCTATGAGGCCAGGGCATCTTGCAGAACAAGGTCTCCTGTTCTGATTCACTTTGTGGAATCCATGTGTCACAAGTAGGCTAACAAAAAACACAGAAGGGTCATGTTATATCAACAGGAGACTGTTTTTGCCCCCACCCAGGTGACTCCTGTACCAGAGTTATTCTTAACTGCTGTCAAGCTCAGCCATGATAAGACAGGAGCCAAATATTTACACATTGCACGGGAAGATTCCAATAACCTGTTCAGGTAGGTGGTGTGCCTAAGGGGAGTAGTAATGCCGGTAATAACAGTAAAAATTATAGTGAAAGCAGTAGTAATTAACAGTACAGTGATGCCCCGCTTAACGATTACCTTGTTAAACGACAAATCCGATGGGTTTTTTTGCTATTGCAGAACGATGTTTCAATGGGGAAAATTTGTTTGACGATAATCGGTTCCCTGCTTCGGGAACCAATTTTTTGCATTACGATGGGTTTTCGAACAGCTGATTGGCAGCTGTCAAAATGGCTCCCCGCTGTGCAAAATGGCTCCCTGCTTTGCTAGGGACGGATTCCTCGCTATACAGGCACCGGAAAATGGTCGCCCTATGGAGGATCTTCGCTTTATGATGAGGTATTTCGCCCATTGGAACGCATTGAATGGTTTTCAATGCATTTCAATGGTTTTTTAAATTTCGCTTGACGACAATTTTGCTTAACAGCGATTTGAACGGAACGGATTATCATCGTCAAGCAAGGCACCACTGTAGTCATAATGATGATTATCATAGAGTCTTTAGCAGCTGTTTTATGTCCAGATTTAACTCCCAGACACGTTCCTGTTTATGTTAACAGTGTGCAGTTCCGGACTACCCCCATGGACAGTACGGGGGTCCCTCATATTCTGGAACACACTGTGCTTTGCGGGTCGCAAAAATATCCTGTCAGAGATCCCTTCTTTAAAATGCTAAACAGATCGCTTTCCACGTTCATGAACGCTTTCACAGGTAAGCAGGGAAGAATTGACAACCTCTTGGATTTCCACTGTGTGTGCAAACGGCATCTGGTTGGCATGATAAAATCTACAATGTGTGTAGCTCCTCCTGGTTCCTGGCATAGAGGATAAGCAGTAATGTGGCTGCTGTCATGGGAAGTGACGGGAAATTTCCCAAAGAAATAGTGGTGTTTGTTTGCCTCAGTGTGTTGGCAAAATTAAAGGGGAAAAATGGGAGAAAAGCAAAAAAAAAAAAAAAGCACATTCAAGACTAAACAAATACGTTTTAATGTTCAAAATTTGTTAGTTTTTAAAGTGTCACACGATTTTACCCTTATATCCCCTATACCTGCCTTTTTCTCTGGTAATTTTACCCATAGGGGAATTTCTCAGGATGACTTGAGAATTTTAGAAGTGTGATTCTTGGGAAAACATAATGTGACTCGAAGGCTTGAGCCAACATTCCAGCGTAGACTGAGCATGCTCTGCTCACATGTGCGATAAACGCTGGAAAAAGAAATATGAGATATGATGGAGGAGGGGGAGTGAGAAGAATGTCTTGCTAAGATAGAACCTCTTGCTTGAACAGAAGCCTATTTTGGGTGTGTGTGGCACCAATGCAGCATTTCTCTGTTAATTACTGCTGAACTGGAAGATATACAGCCTTACAAAACATATTACGAAACTAATGAAATATTGGAGGAATTCTCTCTTAGGCTGTACTGACTCAGTATCTCCTCAGTGCAATTTTCTAAATTATTTGCTGATGTAAAAAAGAGGGAGGGAGGGAGGAAAGAAATTCCAAAATTAGAAAACAAAATCAGCTGTCTTGTTTCATCTGAAATTCCATGTGTATGTCGGTTTCCATATTCACCTGAAAAATATGTATGGTCAGGTCATTCAAAAATTAGAGAGATGCGCAGAAGTCCAAAACGGCAGAGATTCCTGAGTCACTGCTAATGGTTCTGGAAATCACAAGGTTTCCTCAAGCTTGGCATTTCCTTCTTTTTTTGTGTGGATAATGCCAATTGACTGTATGGAATCATTGAATAATTGAACTGGGAGGGCCCTATAAAGCCTGTGCGATGCAGGAATCCAGATCAAAGCAGGTCTGACATCACTTGCAAGCAATTGGTTCCATTGCCATACTGCTCTAACAGTTAAGTTTTTTGTGATATTTAGCCTAATCTGGCTTCCTGTAGCTTAAGCCCATTATTATATGTCCCACACTCTAGGATTATCAAGAACAGATCCTGCTCCTCCTATGTATGGCAGCCTTTGAAGTATTTGAAAAGTGCTCCTATCTTACCTCCCCTCAGTCTTCTTTTCTCAGGGCTAAACATGCTCAGTTCTTTCAGTCTTTTGTTTTTTGTGATATTTAGCCTAATTTGGCTTCCTGTAGCTTAAGCCCATTATTACATGTCCCACACTCTAGGATTATCAAGAACAGATCCTGCTCCTCCTATGTATGGCAGCCTTTGAAGTATTTGAAAAGTGCTCCTATCTTACCTCCCCTCAGTCTTCTTTTCTCAGGGCTAAACATGCTCAGTTCTTTCAGTCTTTTCTCATCGGAACATACCTGAATGTCAAATAAAAAAAAGGAATGATCCTTTGCAACTCTGTCCTTTAATATGAGGAAGACTGTAGAGAATGGGTGAAAAATCATTCATCTATGCATATGTGTCTAATTCTTTTCCATACAGCTAGCGACTACACCCTTTATCCATTTTCCACTCAAAATTCCAAGGATTTTCAGAATCTCCTCTCGGTATACTTGGATGCTGCTTTTTTCCCTTGCTTGAGACGTCTAGATTTCTGGTAAGCTGTCTCATTTTACCGTCTGTACACAGACATGACGATGCGTCCCAGAGACAGGGATCTTAATACCTGTTTGGTGTGTCTTCCGTGTTGCATAGGCAGGAAGGATGGAGATTAGAACACAAGAATCCACGGGATCCTCAGACACCCCTGGTCTTCAAAGGTGTTGTTTTTAATGAAATGAAGGGTGCTTTCGTAAGTCTTTATTGCATTGATGACTTTATTCTGCTGGCCTTGTTTATCTAATTGTATTTTTATTGTATTTTAATTATTGTAAACCGCCCAGAGACCTTTGGGTAGAGTAGGCGGCATATAAGTTAAATAAGTAAATAAAAAGGAGACAATACAGTACTTTTTTTTGCTTTAGTTTTTAATTCACTCGGCTCTTCAGCTTCTGTCAAGCTGCAGTTTGAGGAAGCGGGCTGAGGGTCTTAATTTTACCTCAGTCAGGATTAGAGTCTGTAGTTATTTGATACAACTTACGGTTTGCAAACCCCCTTCAGAATGTGATTTCTGATTTTGGATTGCTCACCAGGTTGAAGGACCCACCATAAAGGGAAAGGCAGGGTAAAAATATTTTAAATAAATAAATAGAAAACGATGCTTAGTCAATTCAGTCATCTTGTGAATTCATAGTTAACTGTGATTGTTTTTTTTATCCGGTCTGCATTTTCTGTACCAGTATACTAGTAAACTGGTGTACCAGCTATTTTGAGGGTTCTGGCCTATTAATCTTGATTTAACACTTTTTCTACTTTGCCGTGTAAGGATTATTGGGTTATTAAACAGAGCCCTTGGATCTTGTCTGATATTTTCTTTAGTTTTCATTAGAATACTATTGGCTGCAGATCATTTGCTGAAGTATTTTTGTTCTCGCTGATATATTTCTTTGAAGACGGACAACGAGAGGCTGTTCTCTCAGCACCTTCAGAACAAAATCCTCCCCGATCATACTTACGCAGTTGTGTCTGGTGGTGACCCCCTGAAGATTCCAGACCTTACCTGGGAACAGCTGAAACAGTTTCATGCCACGCATTATCATCCCAGCAATGCAAGGTACAGTGGTGCCCCGCATAGCGTCGTTAATCTGTTCCAGGATTAACGTCGCTATCCGGATTCGTCGCTATGCGGGGGGAGGGACCGATAGGAACACATTAAACGTTCCTATTGGGGGAAAAACTCACTGCTATGCGGGGAATCCTCCATCCGTCCGCCATTTTCGCCGCCCAGTAAGCGAGGGCAGGGCGCGAAAATGCTGCAGGCAGCCATTTTGTTGACCCGGCGGCCATTCTGGAACCGCCGATGAGCTGTTTGTAAAACATCGCAATGCGAAGATCGGTAAGCGAAATGTTTACCGATCATCGCAATGCAATGTTTTCCCTATCTAAAACATTGCAATGCGATCGCATTAGCGATCACAAAAAAGGCGTCGCTATGTGGATTCGTCGTTAAACGGTGCACTCGTTAAGCGAGGCACCACTGTATTTAGGAGCACATTCAGGACGGGCTGATGAACAGGCTGCCTGTTTTGCTGTCGCAATATTTTTCTATTACTCTGTTCCTCTTCCCCACAACTTCTTTTCAGTTGAACCCAGTAAAATGTCCAGGATGCACAATTGTTTGTGCGGACAAGGCACGCAGATCGGATGGGCCTCGTTTTCAAGGAAGAAGTAAAAAAAAAGTTGTTAGAAATTGGCTATCCCACATTTTTTAATGGAAATAAAATACTGTTCTGTACTTTGGTAATCTTTTTGGTATAACACAGACAAGATGATCGAAACACAATTCAGATTTTGAGAACCAGCAAATCTGGGTTATCTTTGTGTTTCATTTCCTGAGCAAATGCAGCAGGAGGTTTAAAAGCATTTGTCCTATATTCTCTTAATGAACTAAAAGTCAGTGTTGTAGATCAAAATGGGCCAGATTGTATGGTCATGTATGTAATTAATAAGGCAAGATGCGATACCTTTTCCCCAAAAGAACGGAAGAGTTATTCAAGCCGTGGTTAAATGACTGTCTCCAGTGTTATTCCTGCATAGTTACTAGCTTTGAAATAATTCAGGATAGCTATGATTTGTATTTGGTTTAATATCCTGGGTTATTCAGATGCTAACAACCATGGTTTCCGGGTTTGGACGCATAGGAAACTGGGTAGTCAGAATTTCTCTGGGTGAGTTGCGGCTTGGATGAAGAGCTGCATATAAAGGCTCAGTGTATTTTCTGACGTGCCAGTTACATATTTAACGCTGCCATTGCAGAAAATAGGGCTTTTGTTTTTAAAGTATTTTGGTCAGGCTGCAAGAGGCCACTGGTGCTGGTTTAGCTACCCTAAAGCTTTACAGATTGAATGTCTACCTGTTTTGCACCTTCAGAAAAGTCTACTCCTAAGGGTCAAGTTCCTCTCAAGCCAGGGTTCTTAACCTTTGGCCCTCTGGATATTTTGAGCTACGCAGCAGGAGGTTTAAAAGCATTTATCCTATATTCTCTTAATGAAATAAAAGTCAGTGTTATAGATCAAAATGGGTCAGATTGTACGGTCGTGTATGTAATTAATAAGGCAAGATGCAGTACCTTTTCCTCAAAAGAACGGAAGAGTTATTCAAGCCATGGTTAAATGACTGTCTTGAGTGAACCGTGGTTTCCTTTGGCATTCCTGCATGGTTGCCAGCTTTGAAACAATTCAGGATAGCTATGATAGCAATTCAGGATAGACATGGTCTAGAGGGGCAGGGTAAAAATCAAATAAATAAATAAAAAAAATTTGGTTTAATATCCTGGGTTATTCAGATGCTAACAACCATGGTTTCCGGGTTTGGACGCATAGGAAACTGGGTAGTTAGAATTTCTCTGGGTGAGTTGCGTCTTGGATGAAGAGCTGCATATAAAGGCAGAAGTCTTGCTTTCTGGTTCTTCAGGCAGGCTCAGTGTATTTTCTGACGTGCCAGTTACATATTTAACGCTGCCATTGCAGAAAATAGGGCTTTTGTTTTTAAAGTATTTTGGTCAGGCTGCAAGAGGCCACTGGTGCTGGTTTAGCTACCCTAAAGCTTTACAGATTGAATGTCTACCTGTTTTGCACCTTCAGAAAAGTCTACTCCTAAGGGTCAAGTTCCTCTCAAGCCAGGGTTCTCAACCTTTGACCCTCTGGATATTTTGAGCTATAACCTCCAGAATCTTTTTAACTCTTGGCCGGGATGGCTAGGTCACGAAATCTGAAAGGAAGAGCAAAGGTTGAGAACCACCTTCATGCAGTTGGTGTCCAAAGGGAGCTCAGAATATTGTCCGCCTTCCCCATTGTTCTTAATGGGGCTTTCTGGATTTTTTTTTGGGGGGGGGGCTAATGCTAATAAGAGCATCATCATTGCCAACAACAAGCTCCTTGCCTCCCGTTACAGGTTTTTCACATACGGCAACTTCCCACTTGAGCAGCATCTCAAGCAAATCCATGAGGAAGCCCTGAGTAAATTCCAGAAAATTGAACCAAATACAGCTGTCCCGCCGCAACCCATCTGGGATTTGGGGGTTCGATTCCCCACTGTGCCTTATTGACAGGACTGGACTCAACGATCCATGGAGTCTCTTCCAACTCTGTGTGTCTAAGATGGTAATGATTGGCGTGTTTATAGCAGCTTTCAGGATATCAGAAGGCTTCCTGGCCTGTCATAGTGGCCCATAGACTGCTTGACAAAGACAGTGATAGCAGCAACAGCTGGCTTGGCAAACTGAATGGGCCTCTCCGTTTCTTTCCTCCCTGCCTTTTACTGAGAAAACCACATGGTAACGTTAGAAAAATAGCCACTCCTGGTCATGAAGGGTAGATGGGGAAAGCTTGAAAGAGATGCATTTCCCCCATGATTTCCAGATCTGCCGTATTGTTTAAAGGGAATGCTGGGAGTTATCAAAAAGAGAAGCTCTGTGTAGGGAGCACCGAGGAAGAACAGAGTTATTCCTCATTTCTTCTGTTCCTTGATCCACTTAACAGTGAATGATGCTTGTTTATTGGTTTCTGTTTGTAGCTTGATCCAGGTGTAATACAGTGGTGCCTCGCATTACAACGTTAATTCATTCCAGCGAAATCGCTGTAGAACGAAAATGTAATGTGAAAATAAAAAGCCCATTGAAACTTAAACGCAATAAAACCCGATTAATGCGTTCCAGTGGGCTGGAAACTCACTGTCCAGCGAAGATCCTCCATAGGGCAGCCATTTTCGGTCGCTGTGCAGTGAGGAATCCGTCCTAGAAAACAGCAGGGAGCCATTTTATTTACCCGGTGGCCATTTTGAAACCGCCGATCAGCTGGAGGAAAATCGTTGTTTTGTGAAGAATCGGTTCCCGAAGCAGGGAACCAATCATCGCAAAGCGAAAAAACCCCATTCAGACCATCATTTTGCGGTCGCAATTGTGATCGCAAAAAGATCGTTGTAATGCGGTTTTGTTGTAATACGGGGCAATCGTAAAGCAAGGCACCATTGTAATAATAATCCTATGCCGTCAAGTCATTTCTAAGTGATGGCAACCCATAATTTCTACATAAAGAGGACACAGTAATAGTTTTCTGTTCTCTTCTTTTGGAGGGTATCTTGGGAGTGTGCAGCTGGCCCAAGGCCACGGGGTATCTTGAGAGTGTGCAGCACAGGCTAGCTCTACTCCCAGGAGGCCACAGTGGGGAATCGAACTCTCAACCTCTGGCTCTGCAGCCAGGTACCTAATCCGCCGAGCTATCTGGCCCAGCTCTAGGTGTAATGGAAGTAGTCGGAACACGACCGACGGAACCTGCTTTTATAAAATGGAAGCTATCATAGCTTTGAAGCAACTGCGTTTGTCTTCAGAAGGTCCAGCTCTTGATCTTTCCGTTTAAAAAGGAAGAGGTAGCAGGCAATGAGAAAGAGCCGCTCTCTGGCTGCCTTGTGAGACCCCCGGAGGGCCTTTGCTTGTCAAGGTAGAGATTGGAGAGGGAGCTCCATAGTGCTTGGGCAGCTTCTCTCGGAGAAGAGCCCTCTCCCCCAGGTGCCCACCTGGCTTGCCACCGGTGGACGATGACTGGGTTCAGTTCTTAGTGCCTTCAATTTGGGGGATCAGAAAGGATCTGCTGACTTGCAGAAGGGCTGAGATTTTTAGAGAACCGTTCAGGTTCAGGACTAGAGTACTGGGCGGAAATGGTTTGATTCAGTACATGGGATTCACTGCTCTGCTCTTGCACCTTACTCTGGAGCAACTGCTTCCACTGGGGTGCATGCCGAAGGCTATTTCAGGATCATCCGTGTGGATTCAAAGGAATAAGGAAAGGCCGTGATTTTTTTCCTATGTTCAGTTTCAATTTTCTCTTTGACAGAGGGAACACCGTGTGACCTGTGGCGCGGCTGCGTTTGGAACAGATCCAAAGAAGCAGACGATGGTCAGCGTGAGCTACCTTCTCTCAGAGTATGTGGCCTGGAATCTGGAGAGGGATTCTTTTTAAAAAAAGGAAAAACATGCTTCCACTTGGGACCCGTTTCAGTTTTAGGAGACCTTGCAATGGGGTGTATTGTGTCACAGCTGTCCGTCCCTCTGCTTTCTCATCCAGGGTTCTAGAAAAGTGAATGCGAGCCACCAGACAAGGGTTTACCTGGAACAAGGATGTTTAGCCTGGAATCCTGTTCTGTCCTTTTCTGTTGCTCTTCATTAAGGCTTAACAGGCAACCGGGCAAAATAAGAATCCCCACAGATCAACATTGTCAGTGAGTCACGAGTGACGGCTTCTTTTCACTCCCCAGGGAGCAAATTTGCCTGATTGTATTGCATTATATATTTCTTCTATTCCTCCACCCGCCCACCCCATTCTTCCTCCAAAAACCTTTGGCTAATGTCTGCCTCCTAGCGACAACCCTGTATGGTAGCTTAGGCCAAGAGAATGATTTGTAGAAAGTTTAGTACACCGCTTTAAGGGGCTTGAGGTATCCTTCTGCCTTGCATTGCTACTGTGCTCTATTGTGGAGTAGATAAAAAGCAGGGGAAAGTTAATTTGGGCTTTCAAAAACAATATTCAGCTGGCTTGAATGTTGCAAAATTCATGAGCCGAATCAAATTATCAGTGCCTGCTACAGCAGACCCCTTGAACGAATTGCCAGTACAGTACAATTTTTATACTGTGGATAAGTGAATCAGTGGATACCGATTCCACAGATTAGGGGGACCCGATGCATTATTTAGCTCCCGGTGGTCAGTGTTGTGTGGACATGAGTGGTTACTCTGAGATTGGCCCTTTGAAACAATCTTTCACTGAAAGATGCTGCTCCTTTCTTGGACAAGTTCCAGACGAACCAGCTGCTCGTGTTATGGGCCGTTGTCCAGCTCTTAAAGACAGAGAGGATTCTGATGCGGGGGGGGGGGTCTGCTTCAATTGGGGAATACCTAGTGGACTAGGCCTCTGGAGACCTGGGATC